TTGAAAGTGGACCCAACATGTGCAGGAGTAGAGTTTGACTCCTCAGCCTTCTCCAGATCTTCTTGGAGGACTCCAAGGCGTTCTCAGTGCTGCTGAGACAGTCTCTCCAACATGTCCTGGGTCTTCCCCAGGGTCTCCTCCCAGCTGGACATGCCCAGAGAACCGAAGGGAGGCATCCAGGGGTCACCTCAACTGGCTCCTCTGGATGTGGAGGAGCAGTGGCTCTACTCAGAGTCCCTCATGTATAACTGAACTTCTCACCCTATCTCTAAGGTAAACTGGGTACCCTGCAGAGAAAACTCATTTCGTCGTCAACTCTGGGTAGTGACTGGAAGAAAAAGGATGTGGTGAAGCTTCCTTTTCACCACAAGAGACCGGCAGAGAGTCCACAATACTACGGAAGCTGCACCAATCCTCCAGTTGACTTTACACCCCATTCTTCGCTGCCCTACATACTTGAGGCAGTACAGTAGTCCCTCGCTACTACGCGGTTCGACTTTCGCGGACTCACTGTTTGGCGGGTTTTCAACGTAAGATTGTGCACGACACACGATTGGCTGATTGATGGAAGGCGACCAACCAGAGCATTGTGCTCTGTATCCTGGCCGCTGATTGGCTCAGTAACTGTAGCGTCAGTCCATCTGCTCTCTTTTGCTGTGCTCTTTTAGAGCATTGTTAAGAACATTGCAAGAGTGTGGGAAGGGTTTATAAAGCCTTAAAATATAACTACTGTATATACTAAAATAAATAAAACTTCCCTACTTTGTGGATTTTCACCTATGGTGGGAGTGTCTGGAACGTAACCCCTGCGATAAGTGAGGGACTACTGTACCTCATACCCAACCCAGAGAGAACAATCCGCCCTTTTCCAACTGAGGACCATGATCTCAGAGTTGTAGGCGCTGATCCTCAGTTTGGCTCATGCCCTTTAATTTAGGGGGTCAGATTGTCATTGAAGTGACTCTGTTTTGTCTTTGTTGGCCTGTAAAAGCTTAAACTTATTTTTTGCACAGCTGCAAAGTAATTAAATACAGCAGTCACAAGTATGCTTACGCACGTTAAAACAGTTTTGTTCCAGATTGGGTTGGGTTGAGTTTCGGCACGTTCTAAAGCAAACAAACCCCCAAGCAGATTAGTTAAAAACCATTGGTCTTCTGCAGTTAATTTTCTCCATGAAAACTGTTGATTTGGGGATGGAAAGCCTGGTAAATACTTTGATCCCAGGCTTCAACTCTAATCCTCTTGCGTCAGAATTATTTGCACCCATTTCTTTTTAAGTATGTGCATCGCTCCGACAGATGGAGGAGTAATAAACGTCGGCCTTACGCTGATGTGTCATGTTTTCACTTCTTTATTCAGATACAAGCTCACACACGGCAGCCGAGGATCTGGTGTCAGAGGATCGAGTTTTAACGTCATCTTTACAGTTCGTGAGCACAGACCTGCTGAAGACCCTCAAACTATCTGGAACAAAACCAACACTGGACAAGACCTTAGTGTGGCTCAGACCTCAACCCTTACCTTAGTGTCTGTTTTTTTATCTGTGCGGGGGGAAAAGTATGGTGACAAAATACTTTTTGGATTGTAATGGTCTTCTGTGGTGACATGGGAACTGAAAACTGAAGCTGAACTGAAAGGTGAAGCACTTATACTGGTCCGTCTACATTCCAACCCTCAGCTACTGTGATGAGGTGCTGGATACACCTGGTTCAGGTGTCTGATTAGGATGGTTATTCACACAGGTCCCACTTAGAGCAGGTCTCTGTTCAGACACAGAACTGTATTTAATTGTTAAGTAGTGTATCCTTTCTGGCCTGGGAACGCCTTAAGATCTCCCAGGAGGAGTTTGAAATTGTAACTGGAGAGGATGTCAGGGTACTAAACCTGTTGTCTCAGTGGCCTGACCACAGATTGGATGGATGGATGGATGGATGGATGGATGGATGGATGGATGGATGGATGGTTTATGGATGATTGGTCAGATTGATGGGTGAATGGATGATTGATGAATGGATGGATGGATAATAGATGGATGTTTGTTGGCTGGTTGGTTGAATAATGGATGGTTGGATGATGATGGATGGATGGTCATTTGGATGGATGGTTGGATGCATGATAGATGATGTTTGGATGGATGGATGGATGTTTGTTGGATGGTTGGTGGAATAATAGATGGTTGGATGAAGATGGGTGGATGGTCAGTTGGATAGATGGTTGGATGCATGATAGATGATATTTGGATGGATGATATTTGGATGGATGGACAGATGGATAGTTGGATGATGGTAGATGGTTGAATGGGTGGATGGATGGATGAATGGATGGATTGATGGATGAATGGATGTATGGATGATTGGATGGATGGATGTTGAATGAATGGATGATGAATGAATGAATGGATGGATGGACAAGCAGATAGATGGATGGATGAATGGATGGATTGATGGATGAATGGATGGATTTATGGATGGATGGATGGATGGATGGATTAGGTGACGATGAGTTGAGAGAAGACGGCAGTGGTTCTGGATGGTGTTCACATCTGGCTTCTTCTTTGCCTGATAGAGCTTTAAGCAGCGTTTGGGGATGGCACAGTGAACTGTGTTCCTGAGCCCAGAACAGAACCAGACCTGTTTGCAATGCAGAGTCTCCCGAGGGCCCGATGATCATGGTCCAACTTGTTGAGATATGTTGCTGCCATAAAATTTAAAATTGCCATTTCTTTCCGTAAAAACGGTTAAATTTCTGTTGCGTTTACTTTGTTCCGTTCTTGTTTCCATTCTTCACAACTTCCCAGCTTTTTCAGACTTGGGGTTGCACAAGGGGAAGCCTGAGCTTTATTTTCAAAGTGGGAGCGGGCAAGGAGGCTTTTTTTCTGCAGTTTGAAGCATTCAGAGGAGTCGGGTTTCGCAGTTTGATCTGCTTTCAATTACTGGACAGGCAGAGGAAAGTGCTGAACAATTGAAATCCACAGAGGCAGCAGGTAGAGGAGAAAGAGTCCAGGGAGAGGGAGGCCCCGGTGAGACGGGTGGTTTGTAGAGCGTGGTGTAAGAATTGTTTAGTTTTCACTGTGAATAAGGAAGGATGCGTCCTGTGAGGTTGGGTGTTTTTGGTCCGGGCGTGACCGCGTTCAGGAGGACCCATTGGACTCATGTCACCAACAGGTGGGATGTCTCACTGGCTTTTAATGGCTTTCGCAGCTGGGATTCCCCCCAGCTCCCTCTGTCATCAAGTTTCCTCCCGACATCAAAAAGACACACCTTCCACTTGGCTGCCCCTCACCCCCTCTCAAAGGAAATCCAACTCTTGGCCTCCTATAAAACTGGCTATCACTTCGTACCCCCTCACTCCAACACTTGATGTTTTTCCCAGCCTGTTCCCGAGGTTCTTCTTGTGTAACAACACTCGCCGAGGCTTCCCAGGCAACCTGAGAAAGTGAATCTCGGAGGCATGGCGGCTGTCAAAGCAGCAGCCGGAATCGATCACCAGCAGCAGCCTCTGTTGTTTGAGCGGCAGAGCAAAGACTTGGCTCCAATTCACGGGTATCAGATGCCAACTGTGTAACGATATCGCCTATTTTTTTCTTTCTTGCATCGGATTAATGTGACTTGGTGTCAAAAACCATTAATGGAAGAAAACACATCTGTTTGTGTTTGTTACTTTACACATTAAGGTTGAACATACGGAAGACATGAATTTATTGTCTCCTGTCTTGGAGCAAATACGGGGAATTGGAAATACCCTCTGGCCTTAGAGTTGTGAGCATAACTTGAACAGGAGGTATGCCGATGCCCCCCATCACCGAGGGATTTGAATAGTGAAATGCAAGTAAACCTTAATGTCTTTGGTGCAAGATATTCAAATGGGTCAAATGGGTCCTTTTTGGGGTTTTTTTTTTTGGCAGATACTGGAAGGTGGAGGGAGCTATTTTATCCACAATCAGGTGCAATGGTGTGGCCAGGGGTTGATCAACTTTCTTATGCCTAGATGTAGCCCCACACGAAATAAAAGATGGTACCTCACTTGTATTTCGTTTCCACAGATGAACGAAGGGTATTTCCAATGTCCCCTCTTCACTCCAAGACGGAGGACAAAAATAAACGAGAAACTGACTTCCATTTTGGTGTGTGTGGCTACATATACACGCTAGAAAGTCCACCATCGAAAACTGGGTTGCCAGGTCAAAATCCAAGATTTCTGCCACCATAAATACCACCAATTCTCCAAATTGAGCTTATTTAAAAATCCAACAGGTATTTGATCTCAGAACTTCACTCTTTGCTAAAGTCCCATCTAAATATCTTTTGACATGCATTTACATTTCTTCACTTAAACTGATTCCAGTCTCACGGGTTTTTGCTATGATCGTCAACAAAAACATTTTTTACTGCCAAATAATCCACTGTGTTTAGAAGCTAGTCGAAGCTTTTCTGCAGAGCATAGTTGATTTGTTTGTCAAACTTGAAGTCAGAGTCTAAAACCGTCCCGGGGTTTTTACCAGACTGCTTAAGATGTGGCTGAAGAGAGTCCAGGTTGACAGGATCAGTGGCGGCAGTTGTGCTAGGGCTAAAGACAATGACTTCAGTCTTCTCATCGTTAAAACTTAAGAAATTTGAAGCCATCCAGGCCTTAATGTCATCCAGACATTTTAACAGAGGGTGAATGGAGCAAACACTTGCTGGTTTCACAGGCAGGTAGATCTGACAGTCATCAGCATAGCAATGGAATGAAAGACCATGTTTCCTGAGGATGGACCCCAGTAGGAGCAAATAAAGTGAGAACAGAAGGGGTCCAAGAATCGAACCTTTTTTAAAATGTGCCTTCGAAAGGTTGTAAGATGAACCATAAACGCCCGCCTGAACCTTTGCTGTTTGACATTTGGTCACCGGGGGCAGTAGCGAGTTAAACATGCCTTTTAAGAGCAACACTTTGTTTTTGTTTTTTCCACAAAATCTCTTTGATCGGTGTTCTCCTAACTGAGTGTTTTGTCCCGTATGCAGGACCACTGGTTCTGGCGGATGAGGGATAACTCTGTGGTTCCCGGATACCCGATGCTCATCAGCGTGTTCTGGAGGGGCCTGCCACCCAAAATCGATGCGGTCTATGAGAACAGCGAGGACAAGTTTGTCTTCTTCAAAGGTGAGACTACCTGGTTTGTCTTCCATCACCATCATCACTGCTTGCACCAGCAGAGAGCTTTCGTGCCTGTTCATCATTTTGCTAAACACTCGTCGAAAGACGAATCATGGCGTCATCTCCGTCCCTAAACGTTCTCTTGTCCCGCCCATAAGTTCTGATCTGCTCAAGATAATTTAACAAAACTTGATACATTTGTACCACCGCTAGAAGTGTCACATAATCTTTCAATCACCCCATCCCCAAGGTCAAGATCAGAAATCAAGGTCAAAGGTCACATAGGGACTTGGCTACAGATTGCTGTAGAACAGCTTGTTGATGGGCGTGTGATGTGCCGTGCGCGGTACTCTCGTTTGTATATTCCGCTCAAGCGTTTTGATTATATTTGGAAGCAGGAAGAGATTTTCATTAGCATCACGCTCACTCAAAGCGTCGCCTTAATCCTGTCTGCGTATGAGTTTATTGGTAATCTGGGCGAGATTAAAGGACCGTTTCGCTTCAGTCTGAATAACCAACATAATCCATCAGTTCTGACTTTAAATAATGCATGCGGTGTCTTTACATTCGTACTGTACAGACCGAGCACGGAGCTTTAAAGCCATTTATGTCCAAGTTTAAGGAAAACCAGATCTTTTTGTGCGTTTGCATGAGCTCCAGCGAAGAGAGAGTCTTGATGCAAGAACGCGTCTGCAGGGATAAAAACTACAAATCCTCTCTTGAAGACATTTCTGTTGTCAACACGAAACAGTTCCTGGAAGAAACGCAGACGACTTTGATTTCACTGCCGTTTCCTCGGCTCTGCCTTCGACTCGGGCCGGGTGGATTTACCAACAGAATGTCGTTCCTTACACAAACCCACGCGGCAGATTTCCCAGAAGGTCTTACTGTGTGTGTCCCCGTTCAGAAGGAAAAGAAGTCAGTCAGGAAACTTCATAAATTGCTGCAGGTCCCTGCGAATATCCTCCGACGATGCTCGGATAGTCTGGTTTGCTCCGAGGTCACGGCTCCGACTGATTGTTTTCCCGACTCGTTAAATGTAGATTCAACGTGTTTTCTGCCGTTTGTTTCCGCTCACGCACTTCCTGTCCAAATGGAGAAGGTGCGCAGCAGATTTAAACGCAGCCGTGGAGTCAGGTCTGTTTTCTGCTTCTTTTTTTAAAACCTTTGAGCCTAACGAGAGCACAAAGGGAGATTAAGATTATTTGAACCCCTTTTGACTTTGGACCTGCGTGAAGTCCAGTCACCCCAAGAAAAAACGCCACAGCTTCACGACAAAATCACACAACATGATGGATTTGATTTAAAGGCAAAAATTATATTGTTACAGCTGCTGCATGAAGATAATACTCTATAACACTATTATTATAATATATTTATAATATATTATTGATATTATAGATATCTGGACAGTGTGAATGTTTATGATTCATTCACACTGTCCATTTATCTTCTGTATGTTTTTCAGCATTTTTCTCGTTTTCAACTATTTCAACAAATCATAAATCAAAACGTTCAGCTCTTTCAGGGCGATCCTGATATGTCTTTTGGTTTTGGTGCAACTTTAGCTTTTTGACACTTTTTATATCATAGAAAATGAATTGAGCTCATTTGACATCTTTCAAATCTTTAGATCTGTTTACAACCTTTTACTGCTCCTTTCAGCTTCTTTCAGCTTCCTTGTGCAAATTTAAACTTTGTTTCAGCTCATTTCGGCTTCTAACTTCTTTCTGCTAATTTCAGCTTGTTATGCTCCTTTCAGCTTATTTATGCAAGTTGCAGCTTTTTCTGCTATTTCAGTTACTATTTAGCTGTTGTGCTAATTTAAGCTTTTTCAGCTAATTCCACATTATTTGCACCCATTTCAACTTTTTTCAACCTAATTCAGCAAAAATGTGCTCTCTCCACTTCTTTCTGCTAATTTAAGCTTCTTTCTGTCTTTGAGCTACTTTTCTGCTTTTTTGGCAGATTTCAGCTTTTTTTTTTCAGATAATTTCCACTTTTTTGTGCTGTTTTCTGCTTCTTTCATCCAAATTGGTAGAAACATGTTCTTTCTGCTTTCATCAGCTAATTTAAGCTTGTTCTACCTTTTCAGCTGTTTTATGGTAAATTCAAGTTTTTTGTTTTTTTCCCCATCTTTCAGCCTAAATAACTTATTTACACAAATTTTAATTTGTTTTGCTCCTGTCAGCTTTTTCTGCTCTTTCAGCTACTATTTAGCTCTTTTGTTATTTTTAGCTATAATAACTTGTAAAATTATGGGTTTGTCCATATCTGAGCATATTTGAAAACAGTTATGGGCTGGAATAGAAATGTGTTAAAGCGACATGTGGTTTGGGTTTAAAGGGATATGCCAGCCATTTTGACATGTGGTTATGTGGAGCGATTATAAACATTTAATATCTTACCTGTTGCTAACGGCTTGTTTGTTTGGAGAAATGCAGTTTGATTGTCACCGGAGTGACGAGCTAATGGCTAGTCCCATAACAGCCAGTACCAAAGAGGATTGTTTCTGTATTAAACGGCTTCCATCTCCCACACAGCAGTTCATTGTAACGCCACCAGTTATTTACATATTACTCTGATTATTTGCAAATACAGATTGCATCACTTTCTGCATCCAGTTTGTAATATTTATGCTAAAGTAATGGTGTAATAAAATATTTACGGACATTTAAAGTTTCGTGAACGGCTGTGAAATTTTAGGGATTTGGGTTTAGGACGGCAAAGTCCACATTGGAAGTGGGTTTGATCGAAGTCGCTGTCTATTTCTCCAAACTGAGGTCATTCTTTGATCTACCTGCAACAGGTAAGACACTAATTGTTCATGCACATGAAACAGGAGTCTATTAGAGGCTGGTTCAGCTCAGATTCATGTTAATAGCCAATAAATAAAACCTGTAGACCGGGTAGAGAGAGGGATGGGGGCTCGGGTTGTGGTGAACGAGCTTGGATTCGTTGTTTTCGAGGGTCGGGGCGCTCCGTTGATTTCAGGGTGTTAGCCGAAGAGCCGAGGTCAGAGAAGTTTGACCCACAGCGAGCGCAGAACCGTCAGCCGAGACGTGAAATGACAGGAATTTCCTTTCCCTCCTTCTTACCGTTCAACCACCAGCCTGGACTACACGTAGCTCCTTCCTCTGCAAACGTTAGACCTTTTCAGATTAAATGACACTCAGGATTAAGTGTTTTTTGTTAAAAGGTGATCAGCTCACCTTAATGCTGAGCGTGCAGGTGTTTTGAAATGATTTTGAGATTTCTTGTGTTGAGCAGGAAACTACACTAAACACAGCTGATTTATGCTAACAGCTCTGCAATGTTAAAAGATGGATTAACTTTTTTTTTATATATTTTGCAATGAACTATGAATAACTGAGCAAACTGACACATAATTGGCTAAAACTCACTTAGTTTTGCAGATACGGAGCTAACATTTGGTGTGTTAGTAGCTGAAACGCGTACTCCAAGCTGGGTTTGTCTGTTAGCAAAATATCTCTTAAACCACTGGTCAGATTTTAATGAAGCTCTTGGAAACTAATGATTGGATGCACACTTTCTCTGAGCGCTACGACATCGTGCTACTCGTAGCTACAACTTTTTCGTCTCAACATATGCTGATGTGCATTCCTTTAGTTTTGTTTGTTTATTGCGTCGACAGGAATGCGTTCAGTCGGTCTTGTTGTAATTCTCCCCTCCCCCGCCCGGGCTTCCTCCTGCCCCACATCTCAGCTCCTCCAGTGATGGAGAAATGCATTTCCTGGAGTCACAGTGGGTCAAAAATGTGCTGTTTAACCTAATTACTCCACAGGAAGGAGGGCGAGGAGTGGAAAACTGGAGAAAATGAACTCTTCACAAGTTCAAGACGATTAGAAAATAAAACACATTACATGGTTTTATATCCCATAAAAGCCCCAGTGAGCAGGTATTTGCTTTGCTTCACAGGTTGAAAAAAGGGATTTAAATGGTCTTTTGGGTTTCCAGTTTCCCCCTAAGAGTCGTTGCCGTTTCCTTTTTATCTCAGCTGAGCAGCAACCAGCTCGGCTCGTCTGCTCTGAAAAGTTCCCAGAGTGCCTCAAAGCCCATGTGCGTGCCCTTTTTTAGATGAAATGATCTAATACAGAAACACAACAGCGTGTAGAAAGTAAACCTGCTCCTGGTGAGTGTTTTCTCCTGTTGGACGGTTCCTGGGTGTTGTCATACGTTTTCTCCTCCTGTTGTGCAGGAAAGCAGTTCTGGGTGTTTAAGGACACGGTGTTGCAGCCTGGATACCCCAAGGACATCACCCAGTTCTCCCATGGCATGCCTTCCCTGAGCATCGACGCTGCCGTGTGGTGGAAGGATGTGGCCAAGACCTATTTATTTAAAGGAGACAGGTGGGCACTCATGGAACCAGTACAGCATCGTGTCTCTGCTGTCATAGTGGATACTTTAGGGTGCTGTCAAACTAGGCAGTGACGTTATTGGGTTGACACCACCAAGGAAACACTGTTCAGCGTTACATCAATGGTTACCACAACATTCACCAACAACAACAATGAAGGGCATCATAGCTGGAGTTATACCAGAGTTAAAGAGCGCTATAAATATTGACCCAAAGGAAAACAAAGAGGCAAAGATGCACATCAGGCGAGCATGCCAAACACCCGTTAAAAAGATTCGACTTCAGCCAGAATGCAGTTTTATTGGAGCTGGAAGTGTTCACTTTACCAGTTGATGTATATTTATGTAAGGACCAAACCCTCCCCTTACATTACATGTTGAGCTTGGGGCAGTATCTCACCGGGACACTACCGGTACTCAAAACTGCACGAAAGGGTCAAGTTTTAGTTGCAGTCTCACTGAATTCTGAGTGTTTGTCACAAATGGACCAGAGAGCCGTGCAGGTGCGCAAAACGAGGATAGTGTTGAAAATCAAAACGTATTTTAATTCATTTCAATTCAAAAATACTTTATTAATCCCAAAAGGAAATTAAATGTTTAACTCGTTATCCTTGTTTCATTGAGATGTTATAGATACCGATGGCTGTAGGCAAGAAGGATCTCTTGTAAAGATCCGTCCCAAAGTGGATCCGAAGAAACTGGCCACAGATGCCGTCCGATCTGTCCACCCAGACTCGGCTGGCCTCTCGGTTCCTCCGGGCAGCAGGACTGCCCGAATGCCGGGCTCCTCCCAGAGCGATGGCCACTCTTCCCAGCTAGCTGCAGGTGCCGGGGGACGATCCTGGTTCTTCTGCTGTCTCAAGCCGTGTTTCTTGCTAGTTCCAGGATCTCAGTGGTCAGGCACTCGAGCACAACCAGCAGGTAGACGGGAATGCATCTATGGCGCCTCCTTTTCAACTCATTTGAAATTTGGGGCTGTAGCTGAGATATTATCTGAGCTTTTGAGATGTTAATTAGCTGCTCCTGGTTGTAAAAAAAAAAAAAAAAAAAGAAACACCTTGTTGTTGTGGTTATGCATCATAACAAAGGTCCAAAAGAAAGGAAAAAAAACAAGTTTCAGTAAAAATCCTCCCAGCTACACAGCATCCGATACCAGAGGAAACAATCATCCAAAAAATGTGACTTACATCCTGCTAAAGAGCAAATAAAGTTTCCAAAAGCAAAATGTCGGAATGAAAGTAACAGAGCCGCTCCAACATGCAGCCACCCTGAGCGCCGCAACTTTAGAACTAGTTCTAGAACTGATTCTAGAACTAAACTAATGTGTGCTGTGTGCAAAACTACATTCTAGACCCTGCGCATTATTTCACTGCCCACTCACGTCGGACCCACCTTGGCGGCTGCCCCCATGTGGAACGAAAAATGGAACAGATTTGTACCATTTTCAAAACGACGATTTATTGGCGGTGAGGTTTTTAGGCCTGAATATTCAGGGCCGTCACCTCCGATGTTTTCTGTCACCATACAACCTGAGAAACTAAAAAGACTATGGAAACTAAACTGAGACGTTTGAGAGAAGTTAAAGACGCTCGCAACAGTACTGCGACTATTTTGAGACTAAATTTGTTGCACAAATTCTTGGTGGCACTTTGAAAATTTGAGCGACAAGACTCCAAGTCTGAGACAAACGAGCGTTAAAATTAAGAACTTCCACTAATGTTTCAAAACTTTTTTGAGATTCCTTTGCAAACGTTCACTAACTGATCTCCAAAAGTTGCATCCCTCTGAGATACTAGCTTAAGACACCTTCAGCTCTGTTGTTAAAAAGAGCTAAAGCTGACCAGATAATCGTAGTAGGTAAAGTGCTGTAAAAACATTGGAGGACTGTAAAGTGGTCCAAAAACTCCTTAAATGTAGTTCTGTTCAATTAGTGTGCTGACCCCCCCGGTCCTTGTTTTAATCCTGACTATAAAGTACCTCTCGTACTGTCGTTAGCCTCAACCCAGATTTTGCCAGCAGTTCTAAACCCAACAGTGTTTGCTTTGTCCTCCTGTGGCTCATCATATGTTTCTGTTTAGGTACTGGCGCTACAGTGAGGAAATGAGAACCATGGACTACGGCTACCCAAAGCCCATCACAGTGTGGAAGGGGGTGCCTTATTCACCGCAGGGGGCCTTCGTCGACAAAGACAATGGTACGGTTTGTGCTGCTCGATACTCTGATTTGGCAGCAGCGACACAGCTCATATGCCAGGCAGCATTGATTTCTGCTGGTCGCTGGCACACGCTGGGAGGTAAACCAGGGTAGCATTGATTGCAATTTGTCCCAGTTATCCTCCGATTCGTAGTTGTGGGCATACGTCCACGTGGTCTGCATCAAGGGAAATTGTGTTTGCTTGTTGCAAACAGAAGAAAAGATCAACAAGAAAATTCATTTTTTTGTTTCTAAATTGTGTCCGAGGTAAAAAATAAAATAAAATAAAAAACTGATAAAATTCAAAATCAGCCCAAACTGCTCAGGCTGCCATAAAACCCAATTGTTAGCAGGAGCTACAAGGGACAAAACCATTTGGGTGCTCTTGGTTCGAGCCAACATCATGAGCGAGGAGGCAGGATTCAAGCTCTGAAGAGATCATCCTTAGACCAGTGGGATAATGTCGGGCGGAAAGAGGCTTTTGCCATCGGCTGTAGTACCAGGTGCGTTTGAGTGTGGTCTTGGCAGCGACACAGTTGGTAAAGGTGGAGCAGGTGGTCTTGAACGCTCTATCTGTGGTGAGGACTTGCAGCCAGATCTGTAGCCAGGCGTGTCTTTTAGTGAGGTCAGACGGAGCGGGCATCAATCAGAGCATGAAGGATGGATTCATACCCAGAGGGGTAATTGGTGTTTGCAGTTTTTGCTTGTGTATGTGTTGGTGTGCTCTTACTGGCCGGCCTGGCTGATTGCACCGTTTGTGTGTGTCAAGTAGCACGTTCATTGCATTGACCCAGATAGACTTAATTGCGTATGTTGGAGGTAATAACAATGTGTGATTTCAGCGCCGGAGGACTGCACTGACCTCGCTGGAGCTGATACAAGTTCTGCTCAGATTCAGTCTTCTGAATATGCCTAATGAATGGCAGAGAGCAGAGCGTGCTACTCACCTTTTTTCAGCATGCTGGAACAAACCACCAACATCCTTGGTCCAAAGGAACGTTCCTGTATTCGCCAGTTTCGATGTAACTGATCATGCTGACACTGCAGCTCGATGCATGCAGCTGAGCCCGGCATCAGGATTGCCAGATAAACATGACTATGCTCTTTGTCATCCTTCTTTTATGCACACAAACAACAGTACAATAGTTTATCGTGTCTTGTCTGGCAACCCGGCCTAACATGGATACTACAGCAGATCCATGTAAACGGGCTCTTTTCTTGTTTATTCACCACAATGAACATTGAAAAAAACAAAACACTTCCCGAGGTTGTTCTCTCATAAGCAGGGAGTAAAAGTCCAAGAACCAACAAGAAAATTAATTTGTAGTTCTGAACATATTTAGGATTTTTTTTTCTCACTTTTTGTCTCCCACAATGTTGTTTCTATCTCTTACAGATTCTGTTACAGTTACGGGAACACAGTCAGGTAATGACGTCATTTAGTGACTTGTAGGACCTGCAAATGCTGCCGTACTTGCTGCCGTAAACACCGCACCACCATATAAGTCGCATCAGTCCAAATATGTCTAATAAACTGGAAAAAACATAAATACGTCGCTTCGCCGTATAAGTCGCATCTATTATACGTCACCGCTGACAACCCGAAAACGTGGGCCGGTGTTGTGCCAAAAATCAAATGGCTGTCGCAGGAGCGTGCACAAGAGGTCTTTAACAAGAATTTAACAAGATTAACACTTAAAAACAATTATTTGTTTGCTCATAATTATAGTAAAAGTTTGTCTCAGTCTAACTTTTCCTTAATAAATGAACTTTAACGGTCAAATCAGCTGCATTTCACCTGAGTGACGTGGTGAAATGCAGCTGATTTGACGTTTGATCCAGGAGTTCTGGAGCAAGACGACGGTGGCTTTGTACGGCAAGCCAAGTGTCTCATTAATAGCCACATTTGCCCATTAATGAATCACTTGACTTGCCATATTAGTCGAGGGCCCTCTAGTGGCTGAAAATGGTAGTGTTCCATATTTTCCATGTCAGAATAAATGAAAGTGTCAGATCTCAGCCAAGAATCGGTTTATAAATATGGGGAAAAAACATAAATAAGTCGCAGGCAATCTAATTTATACAAAAAACTGTGACTTATACAGCGAAAATTACAGTACTTTCCTCATCGAGGTGATTCACTTTGTTTCCTCCGTCTATCCTCGTTTATATAAAGTACATTTTCACTCCATTCACGACAGATAAACTCTTAAAGGAGCAGATAGTTGCAAGTAGATTTACTTGATTTGATGTTTAATTATTTTCAGTTAGCTTTTTTTGTTGTCAAAAATGATCAAATTCAGCCCTGATTCCAGTCGTAATGCTAGGCTAACTGTTTGCCTAATGCTAACCACTTCTTGATATCGGTCGCTCAGGAAGTAAACTTTGGTTTGTTTTTGTTCTGCTGGGGCTTTATTCCCAGTAATTGCTGTCAGAGGTTGATTTATGTGTCCACGTTTGGCTCTTGGAATAAAACTGATGGTTCCACCTGGTATTATCTGGCAGCTGCTATGTGCTAGCTCGGTTAGCCTTGAAAGTTAGACAGACACTGTGCCAGTTTAATTAAAAATGCACGAAGCCTCATCTCCAACTCGTCTTTCCCTTCATGCCGTTTGATCACTTAGTTTCATTCAGAAATTAATATTTTACAAGTTCACTTCCTCACCGGGAACATCTCCACCTAACAAGTGATTTAAAAAATAAAAGGCACCGTCTTTCCTCCGCTGGAAATTCAGAGCGTTGCTTTCCTCGTCTTGCCAGAGAGGAGCGTCCATGAATAATAAATGGCGAGGCACAACGTGTAAAGGAGACCTGTGAGGGAGAGGAAGGCGTAATGTTTCAGCCATGTTTTATCACACGGACACATCTATGAAAGTCTCATCTGTTAGGTTTGAACGGAAAAAATGTTGAGTAACGTCTATTTTTTTTTGAGGAATTAAAACCATCTCAGTCAAAACCTGCATTAATTCTGACCAACTGTGGCAGCTAACCTTTTTTATGGTGGTTTTTATTTCCACTAAACCGTCATTTGTGGTTTAAAAGGCAGTTTTTTTTTCTGTGACTTTTTGTTTCGTTACTTTTGTGTGGTTCCAGCTGTGGGATCTGGATCGTGCATGTTTTTGCTTCTGTGACCGATATAATCAGAACCGGGGATGGTCAGGATATCTTAGCTGAAACCAAGACGGAGGATAAACAGTGGAGAAACTCGGTGTTTGGGTTTTAGGTGTTCCTGTTCTGCCTGACTGACAGGAAACCTTCAGTTTGACTTGAATGAACTCTGTTTCGGTTTAATAAAAAAAATAGAAAATAAAGCCTTGCAATCATGTAACTCCTCTGTTTTTCATCGCGGAGCCAGAAAAGGACTTGAAAATACCCTTCGTCCATCCGTCTTGTGAGCATGATACTTTGAAAAATAAGCGAGGTGGCGTAAGAAAGGTCATTATTTAAAATTGGTTAACGTCAAACTCATTGCATCTGGTGGTGGATAAAATGGCTCCCTCCACTCACCAGGATCATCACTCTGCGCCGCCTCGGACAAACAAACAAACACATGGATGTATGGATGCTACCTCTCTTCTTCTACACAGTGTAACTCCTACCAGCTCGTATATCTTGCACCAAAATCATTAAGGTTTACCGGTACTTACATTCCCTAGTGCAGAAAAACACTTAGCTCAAAAATATTCACTATGCAAATTCCTTTTTAATGGGGCACATCGGCGTACTGCTTGTTTCTGTTAATAAAATATCTCCTGAATTACTAGCACTCATTCAACCTTTATTTATACAAGTTAGTCTCATTGAGTCACGAGGACTCATTTACAAGAGGGACCTGTTTTAGACAGACAACATACAAAGTACAGACAACAATAAACTACAGTAAAATCCAAATAAAATAAAAGTAGTGTTATAAAACAATAAAATCATGGTGCCATGTAAAACAAAAACAAGAACATTATTTGCTTTGATGTTTCTATTGACCTTATCAAATGTTTAAAACCCCCTAAATAAATTAAGGTGGACAGCTTCCGTTCCTGTTGCAAGGTGTCCCAGGTTCCAGGAGCAGAGTAGGAAAAGGCCTTTTTGCCAAGTTCAGTCCGCACTGAGGGGACGCTGCAAGTAATGATGGCCTGAGAGCGCACGCCGTAACTGCACTGACGACGTGACGTGTGGGAGGAGATATAAGAAAGCATCAGACCAAGGAGTGATTTACAGATGAACATGTACCAGTGTGAGAGCCTTCGTGTAGATAATGATGACCAATGGATACAAAGTGACGTGATGGTACGATGGTTACAACCAGTTATGAGTCTTAGCGCGCCATGATCAGAATCAGAATAAACTTTATTATCATTGCACCGAGATACAACAAGAACATGTGCGTGCAGTCGTCCGAAAGATGGACGGAGTGCACGAAGCTGCTACTATGAAAGCTTTTTAGACAGCATCCAACATCTGCAAGGAGCTGGAGGGAGCATTCATGTAAATCATGTCATCATAGTCAATGGCCGGTAGGAAGGTAGCAGCTACAAGGCATTTTTTGGCGTTCAGAGTTAAGCAAGATCTATTTCTGAAAAAGAAACCCAGTTTTAATTTCAGTTTCTTTATCAAATTTTCGATATTTGGTTTAAAAGAGAGATGTGCATCAACTAAAATTCCCAAATATTTGTAAGAATCTTCAAACTCAATAAGGACACGATACATGGATGATATAGAAGGAAGAACTGCTGGCAGCAACTTTGTTTGAAAACAACATCCCCTTGGTTTTATCAGCATTTAGCACCAGTTTGCGATGGAATAAGTCCGACTGGATGATGTCAAATGCAGACTGTAGAAGCTGGAAAACCTTGGCAACTGTGTTAGCTTGACAATAAACAATTATTATCAGCATAGAAATGCAAGGATGCATCAGGAAGGTTTTGACCTACATTACTTATATAAATTGTAAAAAGAGTGGGTCCTAAAACTGAGCCTTGTGGAACACCATTAGTGACCGTTAGGTAGCTAGTTAAAGTACCGTTATGTCGAACACATTGGCTCTGACCTGACAGTTTGAAAACCAACCAACAATGTGATCTGAGAAACCAGTATCTAGGAGCCTTCATCATACTCATATGAACTCATAGTTCAAGCAAGGTCTTTGTTTAAACCTTTGGTGTTTGGGGTGGTGGGCGACATGCATTCCTTTAAGGAATGCTGGTCTATTTTGTTCAAAATGGAAATGTTTAATTTAAAATAAGAACTAAAAGACCAAAAACAGAGAAACTGGTAACCGGAGGAAGTCAGTCACTTAATTTATTTGTGATCTAGAGTTCTATCAAACTAATTGTGTTTCACCTTGTGTGTCTATTATTGATAAAATGCCTCGGAAAGATGAAAAATAACTTACAGCTAAAGTTATTACTCCCTTAAAATAAGAGTTTAAGATCAAGATAATTATTGTAAACTATTGCTGATGGGTGTAGATTATTGACTGTTTATGTGTATTTTCCGTTCACTTTGCACTTTGAGTTCACCTGTTTTTTGTCTCCATGCTTCAGGTTTTACGTACTTCTACAAGGGGAAGGAGTACTGGAAGTTCAACAACCAGCTCCTGCGGGTGGAGCCGGGCTACCCCCGCTCCATCCTCAAAGACTTCCTGGGCTGCGAGCTGATGCCCGTGGACCCCGGCCGCTCGCCAGCCGACGACGGCAGCTCGGACGTGGTGATCGAGCTGGACGACGCGGCCAGCACGGTGAAGGCCATAGCCATCGTCATTCCGTGCGTGCTGGCGCTGTGCCTGCTGGTGCTGGTCTACACGGTGGTGCAGTTCAAGCGGAAGGGCACGCCGCGCCACATACTGTACTGCAAACGCTCCATGCAGGAATGGGTCTGAAACGGTGGACGGAAAGTGGAGACGAATCGGGACAACAGCCCTCGCTTTTACATAAAAAGGAGGACGGCTGACTTTGGACAGCTTTAATAAAACCCACGGCCTTGCCTCGTCCTCTCGGGGGAGGGGGTGTGGGGGGGGGTCTGATCCCTTCGTTTGGACCTGCAGAAACAGACAGACGGTCCGACTGTGATTTGTTCTACAAAAGGTGATCCCAGAACTGAAGGCTGACTCTGCCTGCCCCCCCCCGCCTTTTTAACAACTTGGAGGCAAAAAGGGATCTTTGCCAGAAAAGAAAGGACCTTTGGTCTCGGGGGGGGGGGGGGGTGTCAGCATCTCTTTGTTACAGAAACTTGACTTCCTGTTCCCTTCTGTTTTATTTTTCTGCCCTGTCTGCTTTTACTCAGAGGTAGGACGTTCTGGGGGGGACAGATGCCCCCCCTCAGGGCACTGCGTTGTCAGCTCTCATATCAGGTTGTTGGCAAACAACAGTTTTCTATTTTCCCATCGGGGGTGTTCTCTCCCAAGCTCCCCATCTTCTTTAAAAATCCCATCAGATCACCATCATCAAACCAAATGTCCCTTTTTTTTTATTTTAATTTCCACTTTTAAGCGTTTGATTTGAGAAAGGAAGTCTTCACCTGTCCCTTTAAGACCAAACTAAACCAAAAGACGTGAACTTCTCTCCAAAGAGAATCACTTTTTTAATCTTCACTTTATTTTCCTTCTCTGGATCTTTGCAGCGATGAAGAGTCGGGGAGCTCTGACTGTTGTGGCGGTCTGTTTAAGACACAGGGGCCAAATTATACCGCAATATTTTAACTCGCCTTAATCATACGTCATACTACTTATGCTTGGTTTCTGGATTTTTATTCTTTTTTTGTCTGTTTTTTTTGTATACTGTTTTTGTTTTTCTTTGTGAAAGAAGCTAACTAAGCGCTTCTTGTGGTTGGTATTGTATGTTTTATTACAGAATCCTCAGCACTGGCTTGCTGAGATAATCTGGACGGAGTATACAGTCGGGTCAATGTACTGACGTTAATGTACTGTAATGTTTTAAGGGTCTGGAGTAAAGCCACTAGTTTGTGTTAAGATATTTGCTAATTTTATTTTCTTCCATTTAGGTTGGGCAATAGGCTAAATTTTGTCATCGGCCATCAGTCCAGCGATTGGCGATATATTAGATAAAACGTTCTTAAGCTTTTTTTATACACCTGTCAAAAGACAAACATATTACAGTATCAAAGTTCGTGCTTTAATCCAGGCAACAACAAAAAATCAACAATGTTAGGTCCTCTGGGTGGTTTCTTTTTCTTATTGAGACTTTTCGTCCTTCATCCAAAGGACTTCATCAGTCCGAGGAGCTACAAACTCAATCCCACAAGCAGCACACTCACATAGTGGACCAACCAGTTTGCTGGTGATAAGTGGTTTCTGGGGAACCAGTGCCAGTCCAAGCTTCCATGGTCCTCCAATTTGGTCTGGGGCCCTCTATTTCTGCTAATAATGTGGATTACTGCAGTCAACAGTCAGATGATCAGATTATTCACCCACCTAACAAACTCATTGCAGCTCTGACAGCCCTGTTTACATTATCTTGTATGTATATATCATAGTGGTACTAAAAGTAACAAAATAAAAAAAACACCAGTATGCAATGTATTTTACAGCAAAAATGTCATCTGGTTTATTATCTTTGGTTCCAAAGAACTGCAGCAGTAATGTTCAAAATAATTTGTAGTGCAAGATCAACAACAGATAAAATAACTTAGATGCATAAAAATAAATTAAATTGAGCAAATAAAATAAAGAAATACTTAAATTGTGTTAATGAACAATTACTTGAAACAACGTAAAATGGTTTTAAAAAAATAAATTTAAAGTTGAATAATTAGTTCTTAAACTATGTAAATTATGCAATAATTTGCAAAAGCTGAACTTAAAATATTGAATAGAATCATATAGAAATGATTATATAATAAATAAATTAAAAAATTCAATTCCACTTAGGGGGGCCCCCTAGTGGCCCCGGGGCCCTAAGCAGCCGCTTAGTTTGCTTATGCCTTGTGGGGAACACCCTCTCCCTCGTCGTCTCCTCTGAAACAGTTTAAACCAAAGTGGTTCAAAACATCAAAGTTCATGCTCAATAATCCAGGTAGAAAAATCCAAAGTTCAGTCAGGTCACCTGGACGGTTTTGGAATGGGACTGAGTTTATTTGTGGCTCCTCGAACTGATGAAGTCCTTTGGATGAAGGTCGAAACGTTTCAACAACAACAAAAAGAAACCGTCCAGATGACGTGACTGAACTTTGTTGGATATTACAGTATCGTCTACGTACGTCTAAACTTTCCCTTGTCCTGCTCATAACTTCTGATCCGCTCAAGATAATTTAACAAAACTTCATACACATGTGCATCATCACCAGACGGAGTGTTGTGTACACCTCTCATTATTCCAGTGTCAAGGTCGCAAGTCAAGGTGAACATTCAACTAATGTCTGCTTGTCTGGACCATAACGTATAATCTGCTCAAGATAATTTAATAAAACCTCATACAGATTTGTACCAACACTAGATGCCATGTCCCGTAATCGTTTCATCACCTTCAAGGTCAAGGTCACATATTAAGGTCTTTGCTTGTCCAGGCCATTGCTGTGTAATAGTTTGTAGACGGGTGTATAATGCACCATATGTGGTACTTTTTCTGTTTTTAAGGTGGGAAGAAATGGACAATTGTTCATCATACAACTGTTTATTAGTCATTTATGGCCAAAATTAATATAAAGTCTCAGGTTTTAAAAGAATAAATTACAGAAAAGAAAATTGTACTAGAAATATACCAGATCTGTGCAACCAGCTACAGGCAGCTTTAATGTCCTAAGAGCTGACGTGTGGTCAACTCCAAACATGATGTTGTTGCTGTCAAAAAGTGGAAACCTGCTGGAAAAATGTATTTAAACAACACCCCCCGGCCCCCAATTATCTCCAGCATGCTCGGGGGGGGGGCTGCAAGAGCGCACACCAATATTGTCAGTTTGGTTAGAAATTTGAGCTTTACCATGAATTCAGCAGTAAAACAATAAAAGCCAAACGTCCCTATCTGCAGAACCAACACAAATGGAAGAGGAAATTAAAACGTGTAACGGTTTAATCTGTTGGGCGTTTAGCAGCTGACTGCAGCCGCTGTGATGATGGAGCTGCTTGGTGCTGCTTTGTTTTGTCTGCTTCTTATAAAAACTGGGTTATTTTATTACATTTGGCTGTTCTCGGTTAATTGTCTAATAAATTAGGCTTTCATAAAACGCACATTAATCACAGGGCGAATGAACGTTATGCCTTATTGTCTTAGTTCATCTTAAAGTGATACAGAGTCCATATTTCAAGTGATGATAGTGGTAACTGTATTTTGTTGTTTTGATTATAATATATTTCTTGAAATCACCAAAACTGTTGCAAATTTGTTGAGCAGTAAATCCCAGCATTGATTGACGGTAGCTACTGGCCTTCTGACAGGAGAGGGTTTGCTCGCTGGAAACGCATGAAGTTGTTTGCACACGGCATTTATTTAGAGGTTAAAACTCTTGTAAGGCCAAATTAAACTCTCCAAGTTAAAGTGGAAAACAAAACCCTTAAAAATGAAAAAAAAAAAGACAGATGGCCGATGGTTGATATTCATCCAATCGCTCAACCTTTTATTCCGTACGACTCAAAACAGGCCAACGAGAGCCTTAATGGATTCATCTTTGTTCCTTTGGTTCATCTTAAATGGTTGTTCAGTGGGGTCATTTAGAAATGGAAACTCTGCTGACTGCCTTGTTTGAGAGTTCCCAGAATGCTCCTGTCTCGTCACGCAGGACCCACGGAGCGAGACGAGTCCAGATCAGTGCCTGTGTCGACGTGCATGCAAGCATTTAGCGTACGAACAATTGGTTCTGCTCAACTGGAGCCTCCTTGAGAACAAAAAAAATGATGTCTTTTTCTTTAAAATACAGTTCTTCTACTTTTTGTGTTCCCCACCTCCCCTCTTCCAGGTACAATAAAATATTTTGGTACATTTGGGAGTTTCCTCTGGAAATCTGATGATTGGCGGCTCAGGTTGTCCTCAGAGGTGTCTTCACTCGTTTCGAGCAGTCTTTGAATGTGTTTTTTGATTTTCATAATCACATTCTGCTTTTCATTTTTCTGGTCAAAACAAATCGGATGTCTTTCAATCACTTCTTTGTTTCAGACTTTGGGACAACCAAATAATAAAAAATAAAAAAAAAGAAACCTGTTCTGACTGAATGAATAAATTGATCAGTATGTGATGATCTGCCTCCAAACTCTCTGCTTATCTTGTGACTTCTGTGTGAAAAGTGTGGAAAAGTTAAGAGCACTAAGGATGAGGTTAAAGGCTAAATGTCACTGCGCTGCAACTATTGGAGATAAAATTTTGATAAAATATGTAAATTTTCACTTGGGATTAAATTAAACAATAAACTAGCTACTGGTACTTGTGGAAAAAATACAGTTCTATAGCTCTGGAACTATAAAAACTAAATTTAGACAGGATCCAGGTGCCTTAGGCAACTATTTTACCGTGACTTGAGAGCATAGGGCTACTACTCGCATGAGACAATTAAGAACCCCCGTGAACATTTCAAGACATTATCATTAAAAATTTCTAGGGTTTTTATACATATCACCAAAATAAATATATGGAATATGGAAAATAAGACAAAATCGAGACGCCTCCGACAACTTGCCAGCAAGGCCTTAGGACTTGGGATGAAATTGAGAAAGCTCACAAAGGTTTTGAGACTTCGTAGCAAGTACCATTCACACGCTAGTCACAGCTGAAACTGTTGAGGGCTAAGTGGAAACACAACCCTCTAAAAAAAAAAGAGTTAATTTTCACTTTCAAGTACGTTTGCATGAACTACCTGCAAGATGGATACGTATTGCCCAAAGATATCTTAAATATCTAGAAGCAGGTCTCTTGTAAATGAGTCCTCATGGCTCAGTGAGACTAACATGTATAGATAAAGGTTGAATGAATGAAAAAAATCTCTATTGCGCTGGAACTATCCATCCATCATCTTCCGCTTATTCCG